TGCTGCCAAAGCTAAATAAAGAATTTTAACGATAATTTCTTTTTCTCCAAAAAGGTCTTTTTTATGCTTCCTACCATGTGTTTCAGGTTCATGTCTACTTGCTAATAATGAATCATAATGTTTTATTTAAATCTTGTACTTTAATAACTTGTTTTGAATGAAGTGTATCATGTGATAACATAACAAGAAATTCAGCAATATAATAAATAAAATGTTATTTAAAAATAAACGAAACGATTAGAAATGCAACGAATTTCATCAGCTTCTAATTAACTATTATTAACACAAATTAAAAGTAATTGAACAAGTAAATCGAGTACAGCAACTTGAAAATCACTTTTATTTGTATTAATATATTTTTTAAGACTAGTTTTTTAGTTTAATAAAAACTAAAATAGAAAACAAAAAAAAAACAGACAGAATAAATCAAATTCGTTTTTTTTTGTTTATTTTACTGTCGTATTGCACTATTTTCTATGAGTTGCTCACTATTTATACTTGATGCATAACGTGAACCAAATAAAATAAATTATCGGTTGTCGAATACTTATTGTATGAATATAAGTTAAAGAATTATTTAATGATACTTGTGAAGAAACATTTGAAGATTTAATAAAAACTAAATTAAAAGAATATTTTTAAATGATTGTTGTGTTAACAGAAAACATGATTTTCAAATGTCGAATTGATAGCGTGTCTTCCAGATCGCTGACGTAAACTAGCTGATTTAATATTCAGATTTAAAGATAGAACCAAATCAAAAGATCTTACACTTTCACAACAAAACTAATCTCGTTAAGATCATCGATATTTGTAAAATCAGTTTTTCTATTACTATGACATTCTTATATTGAAATTTTTCTTCTCTAGGAAAGACTCTTCCAGAAACCTTCATTATAAGATTTCCATCTAAAGTTTTATCCATAAATAAGTTTCAGACACAATACAACATTCTAAAAGTTTTAGCTTAAATAATAAATAAAGAAGATTAATAATTGAAATTTTCTTTACAATAAATATTTACCATTTAAAAGAAGTTATCTGTTGTGTATATTGAATGTTGATTTAAAATAATTAAGCGTTTCTCTTCCCAATTTTTTTGATAAATCTTGTGTAGAAATAGGACTTAGAACTGATTTCATAGAGAATAATGATCATTTCTGATGAGTTTAATAAACTTTTATGTATTTGATAAGATGAACGTATTAATTCGAATAGTTTCATCATTGATGAATTATTTCCACAAGTACCTAATTGTGTATGATTAACTTTTTTTATCTTTGTTTGTATTTGATGCTGTTGATGAGCCTTTATCATTCTCTTAAAAAGAAAAAACAAATGAATTCCTTTAGACGAAACATGATCAAATATATTCTTCAAATGTAAAACATTGGAACTCTCTTCTTCTGTGAAAACTGAAATATCAACTATATTCTGTCCAAAAGAATGATGATTGTGAATATTTTTGCAATAGTTCGAGAACGGTAATAAAATAGTTCAATTTTCGAATTACTTGAATCATTTGTTGAGATTTGATAAATCTTCAAATAAAAAGAATTGAAAAAAACATAATAAATATCTTTTTTTCTCTTTACTTGAAAAGATTAAATTATTAAGATCATGTAATATAAAGGAGTGTTTCAAAAAAAAAATTATAAATAAACGAAGTTCATCATATTGATTATGAAAAAATTGGTCGAATTGTTGTTGGTCTTAAAACATTTGAAAGCACATAAATATCTTCTAAACATCCAACCTATATAAAAGACAAAAATAACAAACAATTTGTATTCGAGTTTATGCTTAAGCTTGTAATGAATGATGAATTTTATATATCCATTGACATGGTAAAAATGAATTGTGATCAACAAAACGTTAAAATCAAAAAGTAGCTAATAACTAACTTAATGCAATAAAATCGACTTATTCATCCAAATTCGAAAAAAGCTACGTAGTTATTATCTCTACAAAATACATACTTAGCAAAAGTCGAAGCAGTTGCTTGACGAACACGTATATCAGGATATATTGTTTTAATTGTTTTTGTTATTGTTCAAGATAAGTTAATATTCGAAAATCAATATCATCTATAAATTGAGCTAGACTAACCTATTTTATATACATACAAAAAAAAAATTATTATAATCATATTTTTGTTTTATCTACTTTAGCAAGAACATAGGAACTTGTAGTATGGTGAATAGAATCTTCTAATAATTCAATTTCTATGATTGTAAATGCATGATTATTAAAGGTAATAATGTTCGTAAAGCATTTAGTGAAACGTGTATAACACGTGCATTATTATCATTAAGACATATAACCTTGAACTGTCTTGTGAATCAGTTGATATAAGTGAACATTAATTAATAAAAGAATTATTAAATGAATTTGATAATGATGATAGTGTTAAAAGATGATTTGTTGTTTGAATTAATGTAACAAGTAAATTTGCACATGCACCACGTAAATGTAGATCACCGTATTCACATAAAGATAAAAGATATGTAATATCTTAAAGAAAAGAAAAAAAAAGATACCTTGATGTTCGATAAATTTTAATGTATTTTAAGTCATATAGAGATGTGAATTTCATTTTTTCCTTTAGAGAATTCTATTTCAATTACAAAATTTTTATTTAATCAGAAATCTTCAAAGACTAAAGAAAAACTCCTTAGAGGATACAATTGATTTCATATCTCGAACTTCGGCTTAGAACTTTTTTGAGGTAGTTGTGTGATTGTATAATTTCAATCTCTGATGTATAAATGCAGGCTTTGAGCTTCAATAAAGTGTTCTACTTGATATCGTTTCGAGTTTGATAATGTTCTAGTCTTTTGTTGGTTTCAAAAAAATTAAAAGTAGCAATAGGACTAGAGCTGCTGAATCAATATTCAGAAATCTCCGTTCTTGAATTTTCAGATTCCAATATATATATATGTTTCAACAATTTAATAGTGAAATTGTCATATCTATCAGATAACTTTCACTAAAACTTTGAGACTTTAACCAATTGAAGCCACGTCAACTAAACTCTGCTACAATCCCCTTCACCTAAGCCTTCCTACTATTATGACATTAGAAATAATTTTGGATTATAAAAAAAATCTATTTTACTGAAGTGAAACTTTACAAAAAGAAGCCTCAAACAAGCATTAAACATACTTTCAATAAGGTAATCAAATCGACCAAATTGTTGATAAATACGATAGACATATTGGTATAGCATATTTAACACTAATACATGATTCATCATTACTTTTTATCATACCATCCATATTGAGTATATATCTAATTGAAAAAAAATATAATTGATTAACACGTTTAGCAGTTGATGTTCGTTTTTCATTATTAATCATTGATGTTAAATAAGCTATTATTTTAGAAAAAAAAAACCAAGTAAAAAACTCCTTTCTTTCTCAACATTTACCTGTTTTTAAGGCTTCACTAACACAAGTTTTTTCTATAGATCCAATTTGGGTTGAAATTAATAATTGATCAAAATCAAATAAATTTGAATATTTAAGTATAATTTCATGTGTTTCCAATTAACTTGATACAACACTATGATCATTATGTCGTAAACAAGTATAACACACCATATCAACATTAAAGAAAGATTTATATTGAAAATAAAATCATTCATTATTTGTCGAATACTGATTGAAAGATGTTGTTGATTTGTATCAATATTTTTACTTCTATTTATTGATTGTTTATTATTGCTTGATTATGATTGAAATTCTTAGATATTTAAACCAAGTAATTGAGGGTCGGGGTGTGTAGGGATAAGCAATACAAACACTCACAACCACCTCTCAAAATGCCTGAGTCTTCTTAAAGCACATTCGCCATACTTTCTTCGGATGCATCTAACGAAGTTTGAGTGGTAAATAGAGTTTTTCATACATCGAACGATAAAATAAAAAATATAAAATTTTTCATTTATTTATTTTGAAGCTTTCAACACTACTTTATAATTATCAATTCCAAAAAAAAAATTTACGATAGAAAATATTTATATATATTAGAATAAAGTTCAAAGCTTAATGAATCATCATAACTCAAATTTACGCTTATACAAGTATCAGTGTATATTTTATCATTGCAACAACACGAAACGCAAAGGTAAGGTAAAAAAAGAAGAAGTAGAATATATGAAAAACGAAACGCATTTTATGACGAACACATGGTCGAAAAAGGCGTTTACATGATGAAAAAGTCATGCTTCATTGATTCATGTACATATACGTTTGTGGGAAAAAACCAAGTGATTTTGTCAATGATAAATACAGAGCAAAATCGATTGCAAGCACACAAAACAAAATTTGCTACACTCCAATATTACATAGCACGTAAGTATATTTAGTTTCTAACATTATTAGACTAGTCAGAAAATTAAAGTTAAAAGTAAAGAGTAGCTACACACAAAAAAATGACGGTACCTAAACATGTGTTATTTTTATGTTTATAAAGTAGTTTTACGAGAACTTCGCTTGATAATACTCAGAACATGCAACCGATTGTCTTGGTTGCAGAATCTTGTATGTATAAAACAATCTTATTGTAAAACATATTAAACAGAGTAACTGTTTGTGTGCATACATTTCAACACGAGTACCAGCAATGAAAGGCACAATTTTTACTTTTAGAAATGCTCTTTTGCTGTTCTACGAATTAATATGGACAAGTTCGATAGACAAACGAACTAGACATGCCAAAGTTCAAGGACATTCTGGACTAGTTCAGACGTAGCTGCAGGAGTTTTCATGTCAGGATAACTAGTTAGGACAGGTATTTTCGACATTTCGGACTAGTCATGTCGTCCGTCCTCAGCGACTATTTGTTTCCTTAGCCATTCTTCTTTATTTATGGTTCGATGTATAGAGACTTGATCCATCCGTTATCGTTATTTTGTCAGTAACACTCTTGAAACAAAAATGAACCAGATAGTAGAGGTTCTTGAAGTCTGTAGCCACAAGTCAGAAAAGGAATGATGTTAACCAACAAAAATTTTACAATTATAAATATAGGGGACTACGTTTCATTGATTATATTCATTCGTTCAATTACAATGAGCAAACAAAAGTCGACAACAACTGTTATCAGTGATGCAGCAGCGATGCCTAGCACCACCACTATTACCAACGCGAACAATCGTGCTGCTGTTGTGCCGCCTCGACCTAGACGTCGAGAGCGTCAAAACTCTCTGCTGGTATGGCTTGATACCGATTTCGACGAATCCAAAGACAATTATAAAATATCAACACAATATTTACGAAATATTTTAGAAACAGTGACAACATTTACAGACATTGACGAATCCATTGATTTTCTCACTGACATTGAGAACGAAAAAGTATTTATGATCGTATCAGGTGCCCTAGCACAACACATAGTACCGATAATTCAAGAATGCCCACAGTTAGTCTCAATTTATATTTTATATGACAATCAATCGATTCATGAAGAATGGGCCAAAACAATACCTAAGGTAAAAGGTATATACACACAAATCGAACCGATTTGTAAAGCATTACAAATCGATCAAGAAAATTGTGATCGAGCTATGATCTCGATAAGTTTTAATCGAATTGATCCATTATTTATGTATACACAATTGTTAAAAGAAGCACTTTTGGAAATAGAAGATGATGATGCAAAATCGATTAAGGAACTCGTTGAATACTGTCGTCTTCAAAGCGATGCTTCCGAAAAAACACTTGAACAGATTGAACAAGAATATCGTAATCATTCACCCATTTGGTGGTACACAGGTCCATATTTTATCTACTCCATGCTTAATTGTGGTCTTCGACAAATGGATGTCGATATTATCCTGAAGATGGGCTTTTTCATCCGACATCTACATCAGCATATTACCGAACTATATCGTGAACAACAAGGAAACATGCCAACAAATTTTCAAGTCTTCCGTGGACAAGGTTTGTCCATGGAAGATTTTGAAAAAATGAAACAAACCAAAGGAGGACTTATGTCCTTTAATAACTTCCTGTCGACAAGTCGCAATCGCGATATTTCACTGGAAAATTTTGCACGGCCAGCAGCATTTAATACAAGTTCAGTTGGTATTCTCTTCATTATGAACATTGATACCGCTATTTCTACAAAATCATCGACACCATTTGCTGAATTAAGCAAAGTTGGCTACTACAAAGATCAAGAGGAAGAAATACTCTTTTCAACACATGCGATTTTTCGTATCGATCGCATTGAACAAATTCATGATAATCAATGTGATCGGCTATACGAAGTTAATCTCACTATTGTCGGTAATGACAATCATGAATTGAACACACTTACTGCACACATACGTGAGGAACTTGGTGAGCGCACAGGATGGTCTCGACTTGGTTTTATACTTATTAAAGTGGGCAAACCTGCAAAAGCAGAACAACTCTATCAAATTCTCCTTGCAAAGACGTCTTCTGATCAAGGTCGAGCGGACTACAATCATCAACTTGGCTGGGTGTATAAAAACATGGGCGAGTACTCGAAAGCACTTTTATACTACGAAAACGCATTGGATACTAACAAGAAAATTCTTCCTCCGAATCATCTCCACTTGGCTTCTTCCTACAACAACATCGGTTCCGTGTATTGTAGCATGGGCGAATACACCAAAGCACTTTCATCGTATGAACGATCACTTGACATCCAGAAAATAGCTCTTCCTCCGAATCATCCAGACTTGGCTTCTTCCTACAACAACATCGGTGCGGTGTATGATAAAATGGGCGAGTACTCGAAAGCACTTTCCTCGTACGAACGATCACTTGAAATACAAAAAATAGCTCTTCCTCCGAATCATCCCGACTTGGCTGCTTCCTACAACAACATCGGTATGGTGTATAATAACATGGCCGAGTACTCGAAAGCAGTTTCATCGTACGAACGATCACTTGAAATTCGTAAAATAGCTCTTCCTCCGAATCATCCCGACTTGGCTGCTTCCTACAACAACATCGGTATGGTGTATAATAAAATGGCCGAGTACTCAAAAGCACTTTCATCGTACGAACGATCACTTGAAATCTGGAAAATAGC